TTTTTTCCCACTTTATAGGGCTAATCCTGTCAGGAAGGCAGGAAGGAAACATTCTGGCGTTGTTTCTAGCCTCATCTTTGTTTCCCTGCTTACAGAAACTGCCTCTCCGGTTAACCCTGATTATATTGTAACCGCTAAGGCGAAGCACCTATCAACATTATGTTGAGTTGCCACGCCCACCCAGTCACATGACCACCAAACCACGCCTACTCAGCTGGTCATTAGGGCAGAGAACTGGTTGTTAAATTATTTGAATCCCATCAGTGTCATACAATCATAATTGCACACTCAATTATGATCGTAAGTCAGGTTCTACCTGTACCAATAACCTTCTTACAAAAAATGCAAATGCTGCATTGATGCAAAAAAACATAATGTTAGAAGATAATGATGTCAGCAAAGTCCTTTTTTGTGTGTGGATTCTGGGCCCTTGGCAACCCGTTTCAAATTTTTCGACCCAAGGATGATTCCCATGAAATATACTTTGGTTTCATTCAGAGAACGCAACAAAAGGGGTTGTATCCTAGGTAGGGATATAATCTTTTGAGGGAAAAAAATCCCAGTATATTTGCTTACCTTACATTACAATCTCCAGCAGTCAGAACCCAACTTTTCTCAATCAGAATTCCTATGCAAAAGGATTTGTTTTCAAACTGTAAGCTCACAAGCCATGGCCAAGATGCTGGAGATGCTAGATTGCCACTAAACGGTTCCAATTCGCCCCGTCCTTCCAGTGAGGTGTTTGTCAGCATTGCCTCCATGGAAAACAGATCTTCTACTGGAATTCCACACTTCCCTAATGCCAGAAGGAAGGGCTACTATTAATTGTGTCCTATACATGATTATAGCATCCAAGTGATAATTCCATAAATTTGTGCAAAACTTGCAACACCTTTACTCCGTCTGCTTTAAGACCCTTTTCAACTACCACTTTTTTTTTTCACATTAAGCATTACATTTGCTGAGAGAAGCAGCAGAATTAAGTAGAATTATTCTGAATAGCCTCCCATACAGACATGCATTCAGAAATAATTGCTATTTCATTCCCAACACATCACCTCCACGTTAATGAATAAAGTGTACGTCTGGAGGAGGAATGTCTGCAGGAGAAATTCAAAAAGTCAAGATGGCAGCCATGCCATGCAAATAAAGGCCTGCAATTCTGTTATGCCTAATCAAGCAGCCAATATCAGAGACTTTACCAAAACAAAAGTATATTTATGCAACAAATCAAAGAGAGCCAGTTTGAGGTAGTGGTTGAGGCGCCAGGCTNAGTTGTAGTCTCCGAATACTCTTCAAAGGCTGCCCCATGTAGAGTGCACTTTGTACCACTTGGGGACAATGATTCAAAATAAGCAGAACAGTATCATATCCAGGGGTGGAATTCAGCTGATTTGGACCAGTTCGAGTGAACTGGATGTTAATTTTAATCTGGTTCGCCGAACCCGTAGTTCCGACAACCAGCTGGCTCTGCCCAACCCCTCCCAGGAATCTCCATGCAGCCTGTTTTGGATGCCAGGTAAGTGCAGGTCCCGCACAGAGACTCTGGGAAGGCGAAAAATGGGTCTACTAAAAGTACCAGAAGTCCTGCCTTCGGAGGGCCTCCGGAGCCTGGGGGAGGCCATTTTCACTCTTCCGAAGGCTCAAGGAAATCCTCCGGAGCCTGGGGAGGGTGAAAATGCCCCCCTCCCCATGGTGCAGAAAGCCAACCCAACCACGCCCCCATGGCCACATCCACCCAGCAACTAGTTGCTAAAAATTTTCAATCCCACCACTGATCATATCCATAGGCAATTTTGTTTGTTTCTGAAGAAGCACATTATGTATGCTCCCTTCTTCAAAACGGCGGGAAACCGCTCTGCTAATTCTCTACAGCTGCAATGCTGATTTGTGGCAGCGCAGCCGGAAAGCTTTCTGATGTCAAATACAGTCTTGGGATCATATCCCCCGTCTTTTTAATGGATAATCTTACTGATCATATTAGGAATTTCAGTATGATTGGCGCCTCTTCAGTTAAGTGGTCCCAAATGCAAGATTACACCTCTCCCATTTAATGACAATATCCCACACCCGTTACGTACAGGACATGAAGTTGTCCCCGTAGCACTTCCACATATATTCGTGTTTTTAATGTCTTTACCCCAGTATCTGGTACAGGCATCATTTGTGAGGAGTGATATTTCTGTTTGCTGCAGCCTTCTGGAAAACCGATTCTCTAGATGGAAAACAAGCAATACCAGACAAATATGATTCGATACATGCAACTGTGGGAAAAGACTTATTAAGTTGTTTTTAGCAAGTAGTTCCCGACATCCCAGGTATAACTTTCTACTAGTGAAAATAAGAATATGAGTCACCAAGCCAAAAAAATAATAATATAGGAGTCTAAATGCACGTTCAAAGAAAATAACCTTTACCGAAGGCTTAGATGCACACATTTCTATACACACTCTTCTCGTGGTTTTGTTGTGAGATTATTTAGGAGTCGACAAGAGGAGTCCCTCATTTTTTCTACTGAGGAGTTATTCCCCTAGGAGACCTGCTCAGAACAGCAGATGGAATTTTAAAAAGGAGGAGATGGATAGCTAACTATCCTTTCTTCTTTGCTCTCTGACCTCCTCTTTTTCTCTCTGTAATTTAGCTCTCTCCCAAATAACAAGTTACAGGGGGAAAAAAAGATCTTTTTCTTGCTGGTGGCCTGAAATGATCCCTTACACAATCCTTGATTTGGGATGTGCAGACTTCACATACCGGTGCTTGTCGCATCAAAATGAGATCTATAATACTCGAAGTGTTCCAGCCGATGTAGGAGAAAATGTAAGGTTTTTTTTCTTGAGGGACAAAAGAACTTGGTTTAAGTGCTGCTAACCCACCTGGAAACCTAACTCTCTGGAGAAAACTCTGCTGCTGGGGAAAATCGCAGGAAAGAGAACAAAAAGATGAGTAGTAGTTGAAAGGTGGATGGGCTCAGTTATAGCGGCGATGGGGGCGCCGTTGAAAGCGCTGAAGGACAACGGTTAGGGTCAGATCAGAGTGGGCACAGTGGCGCAGAGGCTTAATGACTTTGAGACTGCTGGCCAGAAATGATCTG